CCCAGGACCCCATTCCAACCTAAAGTGGCCTGGTCTCAGTTATCTGATGAAAGTTGCAAGTGAGAATTTCATCATCGCTTGCGGCTGGAGTTGGCATCGTCCCCCACTCCTCCTGATGTGGAGGGTAAATGGGCGAGGTTTAGGACTGTGACTCATGCAGCTGCAATGGCTACTTTGGGTACGCGGTCCAGACCTCCCCAGAGACCCTGGCTGACAGAGGAGGTGGTCAGGATGGTTGAGAAAAAGCGACATGCCCACTATCATCGGCTAAAGAATCCCACGTCAGAGAATGAGGAGGCTTTCTGCAGCCTTCGCTCGGAGGTTCACAGAGCCGTGAGGCGCTGTAAGGATGGGTGGTGGTCGCGAGTTGCTGAGGAGATGGAGTCTGTCTCAGTGGCCTGTGATCACAAATCTCTATTTAACTCCATCAAAAAAGTAACCTGCAGCGCCACACCTATTGCCATCCAATCTCCGACCCCCAGGAACAGGTTTGCAGATTTGCTGAGCATTTCTGTGAGGTCCTGGGGTAGGGGAAATCCCTCAGCCAGGAAACCATCGTGGCACAAAGTGGGGATGACCCTGCTGACACTGCAGTGCCTCAAATATTGGAAGAAGTCACCCCCTGTGAGTGGCTGGCTGAGGTGCCATCTGTTGAGGAAGTACTGAAGGCGATCCAAAATCTGAGACCAGGAAAGGCACCAGGTAGAGACGATCTCCCAAGCGAAATGCTGAGAGAGGGTGGCGTTTGTGCACAGACTACCCTATATGACATCATAACAACAATCTGGACCACTGGACGGGTTTCGCAGGATTGGCAGGATGCCCTGGTGGTCCCCCTCTTTAAGAAGGGGGACCGCACAGACTGTAACAACTACAGGGGCATCTCACTCCTCAGTGTGCCGGGAAAGGTCCTGGCAAGGATTATTCAACATCGCCTTGCCAGGCACGCTGAGGAGAGGCTTGCGGAGCCCCAATGAGGTTTCAGGAAAGGGCGGTCCTGCGCAGATGCCATATTTTCTGTCCGTCTGCTGCAGCAGAGATGTAGGGAATTCCAACAAGACCTACATCTCTGCTTTATTGACCTGGTCAAGGCCTATGATACCATCAGTAGGCCTGGGCTCTGGGTTGTTCTTCATGCTTTGGAGTCACTGACCCCCTGCTCACGATCATTAAGGACCTTCATGATGGTGAGCGGGCCCAGGTAAAACTACGTGCCCGGGAGGGAGAGCCATTCCCTGTACACCTTGGGGTGCGACAGGGATGTTCTCTTGCTCCCACATTATTTAACATCCATTTTGACCACGTAGTTCGTGAAACCTTCAATAGCTGTACCGGGGGAATCTCCATATGGTACAGATATAATGGGAGGCTGATCGATGCCCAGGGTGGGGTCAAGGGATGGCTCCCTATTGCTCAACCACGTTATGTATGCCGATGATTTGGTAATAGCTGCTCATTCAGAGGAGGAGTTGGAGATGCTGCTGCTGAGACTGGAGCGTGCTACGAAGAGATGGGGCCTTACCATCAGCCCCACCAAAACTAAGCACCTGCCTGGGTATTTTTTACCATCGGACACTCCACCCCCACAACTCCCAATCGGTGATGGGGCAGTTGTGGAGAGAGTGGAGAGTTTCCCATACCTGGGCAGTGTGCTTATGACCGGCTCCAGTTTAACAGCAGAGGTCTCACTCCGAATCAGTCGAGCGGCAATATGTTTTCATCGGTTGCGTAACGCTGTGTGGAAGCTACCTGGTCTGTCGCTCCGCACTTAGCTTCAGGTCTTCTCGGCCACGGTCATTCCCTCCCTTCTCTACGCTTGCGAAACGTGGACCCCCCCCCCCCCTAATGGAACATCTTCGCCGGTTAGAAACATTTATGCTAGCTTGCCTACGATCCATCCTGGGTTTAACCAGGATGGATTGTGTGGGGAGCTCACAAATCCTTGAAAGATCTGGGCAAGGTCCCATCGGTGAGCTCCTCCGGCAGGCAAGGCTGCGTTGGCTGGGTCATGTAGCCCGCATGCCCAGCCACCGTATGCCGAAACAGCTTTTGTTTGTCCGGATCGAGGGAGCTAAATGGGCGCGGCACGGGCTAGAGAAGAGATGGAGTGATGTGGTACAGAAGGACGTGGAGCTGAGTGGACTTGCCGATGACCGGTACCAGCGGTGTCAAGATCGGTCTCTGTGGAGGAGGCTCGTGAAGGACGCTACTGGGCAGTTGGAGGCAGTTGCCCTCCAACAACAACGGAGGGCGGAGGAGCGACGCTCACAACAACGAGCGGAGCGCCGGGTGGCTAAAGCACAGCAGTTTGGCACAGTAGGGGGCACAGGTGGTGCATCAGCCAGTCATCTTAGTCAGTCGACCCGTGGCACCTGGGTCTGCCCCGTGACCTCCTGCCAGCGGGCGTTCGGCACTTCACGTGGCCTCAAGGTGCACATAGCCTGGCACAAGCGTCGTGGTGACGTCACCGCCACTTAGTGGCGAATGGCAGTTGTTGTTGTTGTTATGTAGCGCCGACTCTTATCTGAATCGGTGCTGGGCCTCCCCTAGGTCGACTCAGCCTAAAATGAGCAACTGGTGCAGCGGTGTGTAAACATCGCCACTGGGGAGACAAAGGCGGCCGGGCGTGGTTGCTGGCTTCCCCCCACCCCCCGCCCCCTCGTGTGCCGTTCCGACCTTCAGCACTTGCCCCGAATGTCCGTTGTGGCTACACGGGGTGATATTTTGTATGTAGTGTAGAGTGTTGTGCATGTATTTATATTTGCGTGTTGTGTAGTGTTGTTTAAGTGTATGTTTCGACTTAAAGCTTTCGTGACTGCAGGAATTAATATTCTTGAAAGACCCAAGAATATGTATATGTAAAAATCTTGACTTAAAGCTTTCGTGACTGCAGGAAAATTCTAATTCTTTGGGTCTTTCGGTAAAGCCAGGTAGATAGGAAAAATAAAAAAAATAAAAATCACGACGTTTCGATCGCAACACGAGGAACCGTCTTCAGGTGAAAAAGACGACTTGCTCGTGTTGCGATCGAAATGTCGTGATTTAGATTTTTGTTATTTTTTTTCTATCTACGTGGCTTTACCGAAAGACCCAAAGAATATGTTCTGTTGTTGTGTATTCAAAAAAAATAAACTGTGTATCGTGTAGGGTTATTCACATCGGTTCGTTTCTTTTGCATGACCGGTAGCCGCAATTTTTATAACCGTTTTTTTTGTTAGGCGTGTTAAATGGCCATCGCTTGTTTTTTTCTGCCGCCGGCAATTGCAGTGCTGCGCCTTTGTCTTTTAACTGAGAGGCTAAGAGGGCGCGCTTTGTGCTTGCCACGCGGTGACTTGTGCCGCCCTGCCATTTGCCACGTTCACGCGCGTGTCCAATCGGTACGTTCGTTCCTAAAACAACAAATATCTCTCGATTTAAAGCTTTCGTGACTGCAATGATTCATCTTCTTTGGTTCTTTCGGTAAAGTCACGTAGAATGAGACTAAAATAAAAAATTGATCAAATAAAATAACACAATAATATTCTCACGACGTTTCGGCCACAACACAAGCGGCCTTCATCAGGTGAAGGGACGAGACTGTCTGGTAGGACAGCGCTTAAAGCTTTCGTGACTGCACCTGATGAAGGCCGCTTGTGTTGTGGCCGAAACGTCGTGAGAATATTATTGTGTTATTTTATTTTATCAATTTATTATTTTATTCTCATTCTACGTGACTTTACCGAAAGAACCAAAGAAAACAAATATCTCACTGGAAATCGGTGATCGGGTTCCTATTTTGTTATTTTTCTAAAACCGGTAACCGATTCTGAAAACGGTTATCGGTTTATAGTTAAATCTATCTGTATGTGTGTGTGTGTGTACATAGACACAGATGCGATAGCGGCCGAGGGAGGCCTTCATCCAGCAGTGGATTAACCATGGCTGACGTATGCGTGTTGAACTTCTTTCGCACCGTACGTAGGCAACCGTGCTAACCGGAGTTACACAGCAAGTCGTTAAGCGGGTGAATATTTGCGTTCACGTATATGTAGAATGTGTGTGTGTATATATGTATAGTAAAAATACAATGCGTATATAGTGCGTAAGTATTATATTGCTATGTTTGCATCCCGTGTGTGTGCATATATATACTCTGCATGCGTTTATGTACAATACAGTATATACCATGCTTAGTGTGTGGGTGTGTAATTGGGGAGCGGTGGTGCAGCGGTTAGCGCGCTGCACTACGAACCCTGCGTCCCGAGTTCGATTCCCACTCACGGCCACTATTCACCAGTGACGATTATCTGAACCACTCCTGTTTCTCTGTGAGTGTCTCTATGCCAGTCTATGGATCTCTATGCCAGTCTATGGATCTCTATGCCAGTCTATGGATCTCTATGCCAGTCTATGGATCTCTATGCCAGTCTATGAAGGAGGGTGATACACACATTTCACGCACCACTCACAGACACGAGACGGGTAATGCGGTTATGATACAGCAGCAATGAGAAAACTACGAACCGATAAATCGTTTTCAGAACTGGTTACCGGGGAGGAGCTTCTGATTCCGAATTGATGAGTAGAGATCGCGGAGAGAGCTCAGTGGAGAGAAAGCCACGTCTCTGATAACGGACACGGCTCATAGAGAGACTAACATTGCCCATACTAATATTGCCCATATACTAACATTTCTCATGTACTAACATTGCCCATAAACTAACATTGCCCATAGATTTACGTTGTCCATAGATTTACATTGTCCATATACAGTACTTACATGGCCCATATACTAACATTGCCCATAGATTTACATTGCCCATAGACTAACATTGCCCATAGATTAACCAATTAGCACGATTGACTACGTACGGTGCAAACGAAGTTGAACACACATACATTGTCCACAGACGAATGGTAGGCACATCGACCAACAGAGATCATTAACACTGCCCATAGACGTAGAGATGCACAGTTTGTAACATTGTCGAAGCATGAGTCCACAGGTAATAGACACTCACCGAACCAGAGTCCGGTCTCGAACTTAGGTTGCTTGGTCAAACGTTTTCATGTTACGGCTCCTCGCAGCGGCAAACGAGAAAGAGCGACTCTGGAGAGAGAAGCCCAAATATCCTAAAGTCGCACCCACACACACACACAACCCACACGCGCACGCAAGCGCGCGAGTCGTAACACACCCACGTACTTACCGAGTTTCACATTTGCCGGCAACAATTAACAATCTCAACACGCGCATGGACAACAAATGACAAAGATCCCCCGACCCTCCGTGTAGCCTCGACGTAGTTGTGGGGCAAGTGCTGCCCCCCCCCCCCCGTGAAGGTGGGGGCGGTGGTGGAGGGGGGGGGGTGTCCAGCACCACTCTCCGTCCGCCTTTGTCTCCCCAGAGGGAATGTTTACACAACAAGAACTAATTTGAGGCCGAGTCGACCTAGGGGAGGCCCATGACCGGTTCAAATAATCGTCACCGGTGTTGGCCGTGAGCGGGAATCGAACTCGGGCCGCACGGGTAAACCGCTACGCTACCGCTCCCCATATCCAAACAAAGATAAAACAAAAATCCCCCGTAAAGCCTTAACAGACTGTAGGGGCAAGTGCTGTTAGCGAGCACCTATGAAGGCCGAAACGGTACACGAGGGGGATGGATGGCCAGCAACCACGCCCGACCGCCTTTGTCGCCCCAGTGGCGATGTTTACACACCGCACCAGGTACTCATTTCAAGCTGAGTCGACCTAGGGGAGGCCCAGGACCGGTTCAGATAATCGTCACCGGTATTGGCCGTGAGCGGGAATCGAACCCGGGTCGCTAGGTTCATAGCGCAGCGCGCTAACCTCTACACTATCGCTCCCCATACACAAGCACACACATGAACACACGCGCGCATATATACTCGTATGTGGACATTATGAACACACATACGCACGCATATACATGTACAAACACACATACACAACGCACTTATATACACACACTCAAACATATGCACACACAAGCACTCGCATGAACACACTGACACACATGCGCACACGCACGCATATACACACGTATATACACACATACATACAAACACGCACACACAGACGCACACATATAAACACGCATATTTATACGTATATACACACTCATACATTTGCACACACATATATACACACACACAAAGACAAAGATCCCCTGCAAAGGCTGAACTTACTTTTGGGACAAGTGCTATTAGCGAGTACCTATGAAGGCCGGAAACGGACGATGATGATGGGGTGGTGTGGTCAGTACCGCTCCCGGACGCCTTTGTCTTCTCAGAGTTTAGTTTTTGTTTTACTGCAACAGGCGCTCGTTTAAAAGACGAGTGGACCCTATAGGAGAGGCCCAGGATAGATTCAGATATCATTCGCGCCACTGATGTTAGCCGTGTTCCCGACTCGAACTCGGCACGCAGGGTTCGTAGCGCAGTGCGCCAACCACTGCGCATGAACACACACACACATGAACACACGCGCATGAACACACGCCTGCACGAACACACACGCATGAACACACACGCATTCACACACGCCTGCATTAACACACACATGAACACACACGCGCGCATGAAAACCCATACATGAACACACACATGAACACACCGACATGAATACACAGACGCATGAACACACACGCATGAACAGACACACATGAAACAGACGCATGAACACACACGCGCATGAGCACACGCGCGCGCATGAACACGCACACATGAATACACAGACGCATGAACACACAAACACAAATGAACACACACACACACATGAACACGCACGGGTGACTATTCCTTTTCTGCTAACCAATAACACGCGTACTCAACACGCTCTCCAGCACACGCGGATACACCGCAGTCAGCCAACCGAGGAACAGGTCCGCCCCCTCCATAAGCCGCGTCTGTGGGCACAGCGTGGTGTTTGCGAGCACCTATTAAGGCGGGAATCGGCACACCAGCGGGCGAGTTTAGTACACGCGGGATGCACAGGCGCTCTCTCTCGCACAGGCACGCAAGCACGTTAGGTGGACAAAGATCCCCCGTGTAGCCTTAGCAGACTCTTTGGGCCATACACGCGCACGCACACACGCACGCGCGCGCGCGCAAACGCTAGACGTTATGCGCACACACACGAACTAACTCACGCATTTGCACATTGAACGACAACCAAGCCAACCGTCGACACACATAACACACACACACATTACACACACACACATATAACACACACACATAACACACACATAGCACACAAATACACATAACACACACATAACACACACACACATAACACACACATAGCACACAAATACACATAACACACACATAACACACACACATATAACACACATAACACACACACATATAACACACATAACACACACACATAACACACACATAACATACACATATAACACACATAACACACACACATATAACACACATAACACACACACACATAACACACACACATAACACACACATATAACACACATAACACACACACACATAACACACAAACACATAACAAACACACATAACACACACACATATAACACACATAACACACACATAACACACACACATATAACACACATAACACACACACATATAACACACACACACACATAACACACACATAACACACACACATAACAAACACACATAACACACACACACATATAACACACATAACACACACACACACATAACACACACACATAACAAACACACATAACACACACACACATATAACACACATAACACACACACACATAACACACACACATAACAAACACACATAACACACACACACAAAACAAACACACATAACAAACACACATAACACACACACATATAACACACACGCACAGATTTCCTCGTATCGCCCTTTGGTGCAAGTACTGCTCGCGAGCAACAGCGCCTGTGAAGGTCGGCACTGCACACGAGTGGGTGGGTGGCCAGCACCACACCCGGCCGCCTTTGTCTCCCCAGTGGCGATGTTTATACACACCGCACCAAGCACTCATTCAAGCCCAACTCGGTGAGGCCCAGCAGACAACCGTATCACGGTGTTGGTGACCGTGAGCAGGACTCGAACTCGGTTCGCCGGGGGTCCGTAGCGCAGCGTAGCGCTAACCGCTCACCGCTACAACGAACCGCTCCGTACATTCACAAGCACGTCGTACACACAAAGACAAAGATCCCCCCGTATAGCCTGCACAGACTGTTGGGGAAAGTGCTGTTAGCGAGCAGCACCTTTGAAGGTCGGCACGGCACACGAAGGAGTAGGCGGACAGCACCACGCCCGATCGCCTTTGTCTCCCCAGTGGCGATGTTTACACACCGCACCAGGTACTCGTTTGAGGCTGAGTCGACCTATGGGAGGCCCAGGACCGGTTCAGATAATCGTCACCGGTGTTGGCTGTGAGCGGGAATCGAACCCGGATCGCCGGGTCCATAGCGCAGCGTAGCGCTGACCGCTACAAGCACCGCGCTCCCTACAATCATGCGCACGTAGTACACACACACACGTACACACACGTACACACACACGTGCACACACACACGTACACATGAACTTACGCGTTTACACCCAGACTGCAACCAACCACCCGATCTACCAACTTAACCGGAGCTAAGTCCCTTCCTTCTGCTTGGTGAGGGTTGCGAAATTCAGAACTGGTGGAGTTCAAGAGTGTTACGCAAGTTGGAGAGGGAGGGAGAGAGAGAGAGAGAGGGGGGAGATGGGGGGGTGGCAGTGAGCCTGGGAGGGTGTGATGATGGTGAGAGGGAGGGAGGGGTAGTGGGGGGATGTCTGGGCTGGGTGTATGTATGTATGTTGCACCTCTTTCGCACCGTACGTATGAATGTATCCATAACAGGTTGTTGTTTTTTTTTGGGGGGGGGGGGGGTTAAGATCGCGTAAATTTAGATGCGTCTTTAAACCCATCAATTGGCGATGTTTGTCACGTAAGCAGAACACGCCAATTCGTTACGAGTACAGCACACCGGTGCGTTGGAGAGTAAACCCACAACATTTGCAATTCGAGTACGACGTTTCGCCGGTAATTACAACCAGCACCATCAGGCGACCGCCAGAATTTAACGGCACATTTTTATTTTTGCGATCTAACACAAAACCCCCCATTATGGATAATATTCGTCGCGTAAGCCAACGTGTTAAACTGTATGAATGTTGAACTTGTTTCGCACCGTACGTAGCCGACCGTGTTAATCGGAGGTGCGGAGAAAGGAACAACGAACTGAACACGGAACGCAGTTGCTGAAGAAATGAGTTTGTCGATCTCGATGATTTAAAAGTGCACAAGCTCCCGGCGGCTTTCCGAACATCGGTAGGCGACGAGCGTTCCAGACGGACGCGGTGGCGCATTGGAGAGCGCCGCGTGATTGCCGTGACCAGCGGACTTTGTTCGATGGCTGAGCCAAAAGCCGCCACCGCTGCTGCTGCTGCTGCTACTGCTGCGATGATGACCACCACAAGAGTTCGCGTGATGATGGGCTATGCTCGTCCGCAGAGGTCAGCGGGCTATTTCGGTCGGTTCATTCGCGGCAAGCAACTTTTTTTTTGTTGCGTGATCAGTGCGACCCGAATAATGGATTTGTTTATGAGCCACTTCGTTGAGCTACAGTATCAACTTGTGGCCAGGTCGCTTCTGAAAAAGACGCTCATAGCCCAGTCGGCTTTACCTGGTAAGATTTAAAAAATATATATATATAGCTTAGTTTTATTCATATATTTTATTAAGTGATGCGTTTATCCTTCTTATACTTTACACTCTTATCGTGTTGTTTTGGGATTGTTCGTTGTTGTAACGTTCTGACCCAGTGCCTCTACTGGACATGTGTGGGGGAAAAGAGCTTTATAGCTCACCGGATTCCTCCTGCAGCACAAATACAGATTCTGATTCTGGATGCGTCGTCGCCGTGCGCCTTTCCCGAAGGCTCGACGAGTTTTCAGAATCAGAATCTGAATTTATCCTGCAGGAATCGGATGAGCTATGAAGCTCTTTTCCACAGACGCCCATCTGGGGCCCAGTGATTGTCGCAGTGGAGGATGGGACATTGGTTGTGATGGCATCAATAGCGGGTGATGTTGTCGTTCTGAATGATGATGATGATGTTTGTAATAACCAGCAAATCATCAGCATTATCAACATCAGCGGCACTGAATCTTCAGAAATCTATCAGCAGTTGTCATTACTGTGACTGAAAATGCACATATACTATCACCATAACGATCATTATTTACGAATGAAAATGCAGTATT